ACGAGCGAATATTTCTATCAGCTGCTGTTTCCCTTCTTCGTTTGTTGGCACCACATCTGCTTCATTATCTGCTGTGTTTTAAATGTGTTTCTCTGCTCCACCCTGACGTTTAACGCTTCGAGGCATCTGTCTCACAGACGTGGGGCTGTTCAAAGTTAATGTGTTCCGATTTGCTCTAGTGAAAAGGCTTATTAGCCAAATAGGCTGTTTTTTCTTTACGGACAATCATTTGTAAATCACTGTGTGACTTCTATTCGTTTATTTGTATTGCCGAGGGAACAACCTCAGTGGTTCGACTGTGGAGAATAAAAAAGTAAAAGCTTTGCCATGAGGTGTGAACGATAATTTCACTTCTGAGACGTTTCAGACATCAAACGACCCGTTAAACCCATATTCACTAGAAGACTGAGACCGTGACTCATTCATTACAGATTATTGAGAATATTCGTTTTCCTCATTAATTGATGTTAATTTAGTTTCACTCTTGCGACCTATGATGGTTAATTAGAAGCAGTTTAAAGAAAATGAAATTGTCACAGAGATACTGTTCTCACCAGAAAATCAACAGTGTTTAAAAACTCCTGTTTCCATTTTCCTGAAAAGCTTCCTCCTGCAATACTGTGAGTTTAATTTCCGTCTAAAGAGCAGTGGTAACATTGTGCAACAAAACAAAGAGGAAAGGAAGTCAGGATAACCTGTCAAAGCCTGTGAGTCAGATAATGTGTCTTGGTTTCTTATAACCACAATGTTTTTGTATTCGTCTAAAATTAAACGATGGAGGCGGAAAATCAGAAAACGCCCCTTGGAGGAAACTACCAGGGTGATTGACTTCACATTGTTCAGCCTTAAAGCACTTTCTTTTGTGTGAATCTCAAAAATAAACATACAGTCATCCATCCATGACCACTTAAAGCGTCACAAGGGGGCATGAGCATTCGACCCAGAGACACCAACCAAGCAGGAAACTGCCGAGCTGTGGGCAGACAGTGCTGTACCACTGTGCCACCCTTAAAATAAACATGGAGCCTCACTGCAGATTCGTGAGAAGTAAAAACACAGAACCTGTCGTTGTGATTACAAACTGTACCTGTGTCTTTGTTTCAGAGCTACAGCTGAAGCTCTATAGTCACATGACCGGCAGCCCTGTGGTCCTCTCTCTCCCTCTGTGTGAATCTCTGTCGGCAGAAGCTACTTGAACATCGACACGGAGCTAGTCAGGAACAGAACGTGGCTTCCCCCGCCCCCTCTCAGCATCCCTCCATTACTGTACATGTGCCCGTCGATAACCAGACTCCCGATGTGCAGTGCTGAGACAGGTGGCTCCTTCCCTCCACCACAGTGATCAATTCTCAATATGGTTAAAAGGAGCAGATCAATTGATTTAACACAAAGAACTGTCAGTGTGAAAGGCATTTAGCCACACTGCTGCACACACACACACTGCTGCACACACACACTGCTGCACACACACTGCTGCACACACACTGCCAGCGGAGTTAAAAAACATTTTATTTTCTTCACTTTCCATCCTGCAAAGTTTGGAAATATTAAACATTTATACTCTAATAGTAAAATCGAGACTCAGCCCTGAGTCACACAAGAAACATAAAGTTCAGCTGCTCGGCCCTGTCTGCCCCGAAACCATGAAAATTTAAATTGCGGCCACAGACATTCAAAAACACCTAGTTTCATATTAGCGATCGAGGCGTGTGGCTACTTAGCTCAACAGGATCAAAATATGGTGTTTTTCATTCATCTAATTATTCATCCTCCCATCTTTGCCCTCAGAGGATCCGTTCCTCCAGTGAACCTCATCCCTTCAACATGTTGTTTATCGATCGGTGGGATCTGACGAGACAGTAAAACCAATACTGCCGACTGTTCTAGAGCAGTGAATGGATCTATAATCAGTCCTCAGAAGAAAGAGCTGCAAACTGCTGCAGGGCAAAGAGCAAAAATCTGCTTGTGGAAAAAAAAGATATAAAAGTAAACATAGAAGCTACTTAAGGAAAGTCTCCTCTTCCTCCCTGGGTAAATAAATTAATCACAAAAAACAATCTGTTATTCATTTAAATTCTATTTTATCTGGAACATCAGTCGGGGAGGCTGTGTATGAAAGAGACTGCAGCTCATAGTGTTTGTATTTAATCCGCTCTGATCTTATTCTGACGGTTTAAGCACTGTGTCTTCTACAAGTGGAAAAGACAGGAACCAACAAGGGGCAGAAAATATCTGCTACAAATGTCTGTGCAAGACGTATGTGGGAAAAGGCTGAATAGGATTAGGGTATTGATTTTTATCTACTTCAGTGAAGCTATTACAGCCCACAGGGAGCACTCAAACAGCGAGTCACAAATATTGTTGCTTTCTTGTTCCTCTGACGTCCTTTGCTCCGTTTGTCTTTCGCTAATAAAAGTTTACGAGAAAGGAGCAGAACCAAAGACGGATGTTCACAGATTCCAACAGCATAAAAACCGGTCCTGTGTTATATTAGACGGCTGATGACCTGTCTGAGGCGTTTCACCCAGAGAGACCCTTCAGGACACAGTTTCAACTTTACAACATAATTCCAGTGTTATGACTCCGGGGTTTCTAAAACGTCCAATATATAAAACACAACACAGAAGTGTAATTCTCAGCCAAAACCTGCAGTTGAATGCAAGTCAATGCTGAAAATGATCTGAAATCTTATTTTTTAACTTTTACCTCTAACTGCACATGAATGAACGTGGTAAAAACCGCTGGGATGAAAAGAAGAGTGATTCAATTCAGTGTTTCCACATCCCACACACACTTTCTACAATAATGTTGATTTCATTCTTCACTCGAGGTCTTTCCTCACGGTTGATTCTTGGACGTTTTGTAGAAACGACTGCTTCGTTCAGCTTCAAATTGTCCCTCGATGACAAAAAAAGTGTCGCAATAAAATTTCACCTGCATCAGAGTATCACACCAGACGTCTGTAAAGCAGAGGCTATGAATCAGATGTCACAGCTACAGTTGAGCTCTAGTTAACCTGACATGCATGGTTAGGTTAAAGGTCATGGTTTTGGTTTTTGTTGAAACCTACTCACCACTCTCAACAATAATCTCAATAAGCACTTTCTCTACACCTTTAGGAATCACCTGAAGTCACAATTTAAACTGAATAATTACGACCTCACTCAGAAACATGAGCATTAAAACACCACTCCAAACCAACTCTGCAATGAACACACATTATGTAATCAGCCATTATGTAGATGTTAAAGTTTATAAGGCAACATATGCAAAATATTATCTCAGGATATTATCAACTGAAATTAGTTCTGAGTCAAAAACCAACTGCAAGTCACTTTACAACAGCAATCTATTCTGATTTTATAGAAAAACAACAATCAACACCACAAAGGGATTCTTTGGGCGACGTGACAGATGATTTAGGGTTAAGATCAATTAAAAGGCAAAGATTAATCCAAGAACCATTTTCCTCTTGACAAACAAACAGAAATGGGTGAATGTACCAGAGTCTATGTTTTCATCTAAAAACTCGGCTTTTCTGGTTTCAGAAGTTGTTGAAGCGAATCAGAGAAAAATAAATACTGGTCAGAAAAACCTTTGCACCATTCGGTACATTTTCTGGAGACTCAGTCAGATGAAAAAAGTAAATTCATGACAGGAAATATTTGACCCATATGTGCTGGATTCCTGCTGAATATTAAAATGCATGAAATTGTGCTAAATCACCTTCCTTTAAAATAGTGGTATTTTTACCTCAGGCAGCTTCATCTGTATTTAATCCTTCAAACTAATTGAAACCTTCATCATTTGTCATCGTCAAGTGTAAAAGTGTCTGTTTCATGCTTCGGTGTGAATCCGATTTGCATTTCAGTGGTGTTTCGTCTCACATGTACAGTATGAACAGATACCACTCCTCCTGCAGACATGACAACAGTTTCAAGCAAATGTTTACATTGTACCCAAGACAAGATACTTTGCTGCTGTAGCACAGGTATTTATCTTTCTATCTATCTTTTATCAATCTATCTATCTATCTATCTATCTATCTATCTATCTATCTATCTCTCTCTCTCTCTCTCTCTATCTATCTATCTATCTGTCTATCTGTCTATCTATCCCTTTATCTATCTCTATATCTATCTCTCTCTCTATCTCTATATATCTCTTTATCTTTCTATGTCTATCTATCATTTATCTATCCAGCTATCTATCTTTTATCTATCTATCTATCTATCTATCTATCTATCTATCTATCTATCTATCTATCTATCTATCGCTCTCTCTCTATCTATCTATCTATCTATCTATCTATCTATCTATCTATCTATCTATCTATCTATCTCTCTCTCTATCTCTCTATCTATCTCTCTATCTCTCTATCTATCTATCTATCTATCTATCTCTCTATCTATCTATCTATCTATCTATCTCTCTATCTCTCTATCTCTCTCTATCTCTCTATCTCTCTCTCTATCTCTCTATCTATCTCTCTATCTATCTATCTATCTCTATATCTATCGCTCTCTCTCTATCTCTCTCTCTATCTCTCTATCTCTCTATCTCTCTATCTCTCTCTCTCTCTATCTCTCTATCTATCTCTCTCTCTATCTCTCTCTCTCTATCTCTCTCTCTCTCTCTCTATCTATCTATCTATCTATCTATCTATCTATCTTCATGTCTTCCTGCAGGTTTGTAACAGCGCTGTCGCTTTCCATGGTGCTGAACCCGGGCAGCGGACTGAGGAGCTGTCCGTGGTGCTGAACTGTACAGTACGTACAGTGGGTGTGTGGAGGAATCGAACTCACACACTTTCTCTGCCACTGTCTCCTCATGTGAAGACTGACACGTGAAGTCACACGAGCTCTTTGTTTCATGTGATGGAGAATCAAGCAACAAATCTACTATGATGAGACTCTGAGGAGGAAAACGGAGAATCTGAGTTTATCTCCGGACTCGCTGAAGGTCACAAGGAAACAAGATTATAACCGAGCTCCTCTCACCTGCACGGGGGGGAATCCGCCCGGACCGTCCACTGTCTCCGGGGAGTTGTCCAACACCCGGTCCCGGTACAGAGACCACAGCCCCACGTTCGGGAYGAAGAGCAGAGCCGCCACCAGCAGCCCGGCGAACTGCAGCAGCCGCTTCTCCTTCCGCCTCATGTCTGCGGGACGAAGCACCGACACGAGCAGCAGCAGCAGCGGAGGAAACTGACGAGTCCGAGTCCAGACAACTTCCACTTGTAGACATGGAGGAGGAGGAGGAGGTGGAGGAGGAGGAGGAGGAGGTGGAAGAGGAGGCTGCGTTCAAGCTGCAGGAAACATCCAATCTTACACGACGTCCGGGCAGGACTTTCAAAATAAGACTACTTAGACTCACAGGGTTCTTTGACTAACCTAAAAGTACAAAAAAGAGAGGTAGATATGTAACAATTCAATTTCATTACATTTGAAAATCATTATACACATTATCTCAGGGCTCTTCAGAAGGTCAAGACTTTCAAAATGATAGAGAAACCAACAGTTCCCTCAACGAGAGAGAAAAAACTGCCTCATTAACTGGAAGAAACCTCTAGAACCAACGTGGACGACATCTGCTTCGACTGGTTGGTGAGCAGAGAAAAAAGAGGGAGAGAGGAGAGGGGGAGGAGAGGGGGAGGAGAGAGACCAGGTACAGTTCTATACCATACGGCTTAAATGATCAAAAATAATAATCAACCTTATTTGTATGGAATCTTTCATACAAAAAATGCAAACAACTTTACATACAATATAGAGAAAATATGTTAAAATGTAATTCAAGAGAACACATTTTGAGAAACACAAGAACATGTTAAAATAACATTTAAAAATGTTATATTCATATATTATAATGATGCACAAAAACAGAGAAGAAAGAAAGTGGTAAGAAATATCAGAGCACCGGGCAAGTGTAAGATCCAGTTACTGAAGCTGTAGCAAAGAGAAATGTTTTGTTTTAAAGATATTCATTGAAGTAGCTTCTCTGTTTCACATCTTCAGAGAGTAATTTACAAAATCTGCATCTCCAAACTTCTGACAGACCGGCTGCAGATGATCTCAGTGTTCGGACTCTGCAAAGCTCGTATTCACTTTTTTCTTCATTAGGATATTTTTCAATCATGTTCTTTTGTGGTCTTCTTTCTGTTTTTGCACATTACATTGCGTCAGCCATAAGAGAAGCTGACACCTGACATGAATCAAGTTGTTCTTCTGGTGCAGCTCCTGCCCCTCCTCCTCTCTTGCAAATGAAATATTCCATGCTTTTGTTTTGAAGGGTAAACCACTGACACTCCTATTGTTTTCTGATTTTCTCGACAGCAGCTTGACGCAGTTTTTCAGTTTAAAAGGAGACTTGGCGGGATAATAGAGACGATCCCAGGTTTGGTCTCAATGTTTATATGAAATCACTTCTCTCCTGCTGTGGCTCTGGACTAGATTATGTCCAAATATATCAGAATATCTGAGATTCTGTTCTTTGTCAATGGAACAGCTCTGACCAGAAATCATCCGATGATTCAAGCTCACTTGTTTGATTTGATTCTTCATGTTCAAGTAGCACAGTTGTATTTCTGATCATCTCAGGACTTTTATTACTAATGACAGAAAACTGTCTTTGTCCTATTTCTGAACTGTCGTGGATGTGTTGTGAAATTGTGGCAGCACAGTTCAGATAAAACCAGATTCTCTGTCTTAAACATGCTAAATAAATAAATATAAATATATGAAACTGACCCCCTTTCAATAGTCACAATTATACAGTATGTATATAAAGAATAGAGTCAAACACTCATCTATCTTCATTATATACATTATATAACCTAAGTTTTCCCAGGTCAGTCACATCGTACGTAGGCACAAGGTGCAGCTTCCACTTCTACTTTACATTAACCAATTCAAACAGCAACATTTCTCATATTTACTGCAGAAGATAAAAAGCCACTCGCTCCCAGAAGTTGTTTTAAGTCCAACGTAACAGAACCCAAGTCTAATCTTTGCAGTGATGCACAGATGAACAAGTGAACCAGAGGAAACTTCAGACTACACCTGAGGGTTAAAGATACCGGAGCTTTGACATTTGCATTAAAATGTTGCTTTTCAGCTTCGTGTGTTTAGTTCACTTCAAACAGACCAGCAGTCGTTCTGTTATACTCGTCTCATCCGCTGCCTCCCACCGCCATTGTCTCACTTCTGCAGCTTTTCCTCAAGGCTACTCTGGCAGACAGAGGAAATAAATATAATTACTTGATTATACAGCGTATTGTCACTGTGCTCTTCTCTTCATACTTAATTAACACCACTGGTGCTTGACTGGAAAATCTGGATGTTAAATATCATTACAGCTGAGAACTGGATACTTTCTGCCAAATAAAATATTCTTTCCCCAAATAATCTCACTGCAAATACTGTGTCCCCTCTCAGCTCATCCATTCTTCTGTATAAATAACTGAATATGACTAAACAGAAGAATTCATAGTGGTTATTAGGGTCATGTAAAAAGATTAAAACTCAATATTTTGTTCTGTGCTTTTCATCTCAGCATTTGTAGTTTTCTCTGTAACGGAGCTTCTTTAGCACTGATGCTGCAATTCAATAAATTATTACAAAGTCCATCACCATCTATATTTAGATATTCAATTATATATGTCTTAATTAATACTATACATCATTTTAGACTAAGGAATGCATAGTTTAAAGCTAAGGTTGGTCGTCTATATCGGAGCTGGAGCCAATCCCAGCTGACATTGGGCATGAGGCAAGGTGCACCCTGGGTGTACGGCCAGACCACAGGACCGATACACTACAGTTAATTAGAGAGATTAACCTCAGTCTGTAGGAAGCCTGTATATGTAGAGAACCCCCCCCCCCCCCCCCCCCC